ATCTTTTTAGACCAATTAGGTGAAATAGGATGATTTTCTACGGCACCATCACCATCACTAACACCACACTAGTGTACCGAGGCACAGTGGTTGAAAAACACTGGTCTAAATCAATGCAAGAACCTTTGCTCTCTTTAGTTAACATCCCGCTAACCCTCCCTCCTCCCGATTGGTTGTTGGAGGTGTCATGTGACACAAACCGGGCGGGACGAACTCACTTGTTGTAGAGCACTATGTCTGGAAGCCAGATGAGTTTGGATGGGATCCGTAGTTTCTTGATGCCTTCGTATTTGTCCGGGTCCCATCTCAGCCGGTAGTCGTTCCACTCCTACAGAGAGAGGGATGTTTCAGAAACATGTGGAGCATCCCGACATGTTTAAGGAGCGTTTACTGTACCTGGGACAGCCACACGTTGGTGGTCATTATCTGCTCTCGCTCGTTCTGGAAAATAAGAAGAGAGGAAGAGGATCAAGCTGCTTAAACTTAAGACCTCTCTCTGGGTTTTTCCCGCAAAACCAAAGTGAATCACCTCTGATCATCCTCAGGGACTCATTCTGTGTCAAAATCTGTTTGTAAAACACACTAAAACTCACTTGAACATTATGAGGAATGGGTGGAGGGATAGATGGATGGGTGGAGTGATAGATGGATGACGGATGGAGGTATAGATGGAGGGATGGAGGTATAGATGGAGGGATAGATGGAGGTGTGGATGGAGGGATAGATGGAGTTATAGATGGATAGATGGAGGGATAGATGGAGGTATAGATGGAGGTGTGGATGGAGGTATAGATGGAGTGATGGAGGGATGGGTGGAGGTATAGATGGAGGAATAGATGGAGGTATAGATGGAGGTATAGATAGAGGTGTGGAGGTATAGATGGATAGATGGAGGTGTGGATGGAGGTATAGATGGAAGGATAGATGGAAGTGTGGATGGAGGTATAGATGGAGGGATAGATGGAGGTATAGATGGAGGTATAGATGGATGGATAGAGGGATGGATGGAGGTATAGATGGATGGATGGAGGGATGGATGGAGGTATAGATGGAGGTGTGGATGGAGGGATGATGGATGGA